ACAAATCTTGAAAAGGCATTACCAGCCCTGGAAGATTTTATAAAAAAAAAAAAAAAAAACAAAAAAAAAAAAACATCAGCTCCAAACTTTTCTCAGCTAGCTAGTACGCTAATAAACTGAAGAAACCACTGGCTGTATGTGCGTTTCAAAAACGTAGTATAGAAATAAATGGAATAGAAAAGAGCTGTCGTGCAATGACCTGTACAGAGTCAACATAAAAAAAAACAACAGATTTTGTTCTTATGGATAAAGACAACCTGAACAAAGTGAACACTTTAATCTTTTACAGTAAATGTGTTTGTGCCAAAAGCCCCCCGAAAAAAAAAAAAACAACGTTGAAGGTCCAGAATAAGTAATGAGAAAATCCATCGTGTTACATTTTGCTTACCTCTTCCAATCAAAAGAAAATGCTACATAAAGTGTTGTTTTCTACATTCCTACATCCATATTCAAGTCTTTCCAAGAGAACACAGTGATCCGATGCATCAAATGCAGCACTGAGATCTAACAGGACAAGTGCAGAGCCCAGTAATTATCTGAGACCATGAGAATGTCATTAGTGACTTTTGCCAGAGCTTCTTCAATCCTACGATGGGCTCTGAACTCCTCAAGCGGGTTATTACCGGGTGATTGCATAGTAAATGCTGGCAGAATAGGAAAAGGTTTTTCCGAGAATTCTAGGTAGGAAAGGAATATTAGATATGGTCTGTGATTTATAAAAGCATCTTCAGAGATGATGTCTTAAGTAGATCTTATTGAAGTTGTCTTTATCCAGTTTTATTTACAGTTCATTGCACAGTAGCGCCATTGGTTGAGGGCTTAAAATATTCTCGGACTCCAACAGGCAGTGGTCTTTTTGTCTGTCTTCATATCTCCTCTCTCAATTCTTTATCGATTTCCTCTCCTTCTCTCCTCTATTGATTATCGATTCTTCCTCTCTATTGGATCTATCTAGCGCTTGGAGAAATGTTTGCACAGTGCCTGGCCAGCTCTCCATCGCTGTTTGGATGTCTCTTTATTGATGATTCAGCTTTAAAATAATGTTTTTTCTTTGCTGCTCTACATACTCAAACGTGGAAGAAAAAAAAATTAAACTAGCAAGTTTTGTTATCCTGCCTCTCAAACGAAGCCCTTTACTTTAAGTGCCTTGTTTTGCTAATGGCTGTTGTTCCAGCAGCATGCTGGGCTGCACTCAGCTTTCTCCCAGACGATGGTCTGAACCAAAGATGAGTCTCACTTGACCCGGTTTTAGTCAATATTCTCTGTATTCCAGAGATCATAGGATTTGAATTAACGTGGGATTTGGTCCAGATTGGAGTCTGAACTTTGAGAGTTGCTGATCTGAAGCTTTTCGCCACCAAAGCGAGCCACAAATTCTCTGGTAACCGCCGCATGCGAGAGCCAAAGGGACCCAGTAGTTTTCCCAATCAGCAGTTAAAAGCGGAATCGGGTTTCCAAGTGTGTTTGCAGCAGAGAGCGAGCCGGCACGTCCAAGAAATTACATCTGGGTGTAAAATATTCCCTCCTGGTTTTTTTTCTGTGAAAGCTCTTTTTCTATCTATTTTTAATTTAGGGTAATTTTTTGTTCAAAAAAACCAAAAAGAACCTTTGCATTTAGCATGTGTTGTTCTGTTTTTTGGGGGTTGTTTTTGGGTTTTTTTGTTTGTTTTTGCCTGTTGTACTAAAATAGCAGTAAACAGACTGGGGTGCATAAGAAAACATGACTCATCGATCTGTAATGTAAAGTCATTTATTTTGTTTTTTTTTTTTTTTTTTTTTTTTTGTTGGTTATATTTCGAAAAATTACCAAATATAATCTTGTGCTCCCTTTTCGAATTTGGTTTTCTTTTGTTGACGCATCTTCTTACCAAACGGTAAAAACAGGAAGAAATGGCGCCACGTTTTCCATTTAATTACGTTGAACATAACAACGTTAGTTTTTTTTTTTTTTTTTTTTAAATGGGACGGTTGGCATAAAAATTCACACCAGATGTCTGGAGTAACTCGTGTGTAAATTTCCTCTTTAACATTGTGCTTTCATGTTGACGTGTCCAGCCCTTTAAACCAATGACATCCAAAACGTTCAGCTTTTGCCTCATCTGCCCTGACTATGTTCTTTTTTTTTTTCTCTCTCTTCAGCATTAACTCTTATTTTCTTGAAGAGTAAAAACAACATTGTCTTTGTCTTTGCCAGGTGTTTCAAAATCTTAGTGCTCTTTTGTTCTTGGACAAACCTTTTATGATTCTTTTGACTTTTCTGTCACAAATCCTTCCCGTCTTTGCTTTGAAGCTGAATTACATCCTTTTCCGCTTCTTGCAGTTCTCGGCGACACACTTTGCAACAACGAGATCCTTGTTTTTATGGGGGGTTTTTTAAGAAAAGGTCTATTTGTTTGTACCAATTATGTCACTCGTACCATACTGATTTGCAACCGGAATGCTTTCGAACTACAACTATTGTATCTGTTTTTATGGCTTTTTGTGCCTTTTTGCACATCCTTTTCTTCTGTTTAATTCTCATTAACTTACATTTTAAGATTTTAGTCATAACTGTTTTTCTGGACTAATTTTTTGCTCCTATTGCACCAAAATGTCCCCTTTCTGTGACAGTAAAGAATATTTTTGACAAATTCTTGCTTTGATTTCTTTGTTCGAAAAATATCTTACTACATAAGTTTGACCCCCAAAAAAGGTACAACGTCCAGAACTTGTACAGGTTCAGTAAGCAGCCTCAAGGTTGGCGAGTTATGTCAGTGGAGGGACGCTCAGTTCATTTATATCTCATTTATATTTCTGCCCCCTCATTTTGCAAATAAAAGTTTGACAAGCGCATAAAAGTCCTGTCTGAAACACACATTAATGATCAATCGTGCCTATTCCAGATGGATTCCTTTTCACTGGCTCAGAGCTGCTCATTAATGCCCTCTTTGTTAGGACAGACTTTAAAAGCACGGATTTCTTTCTCAGAGCTTTCCCACATTTACGAGGTGGAAATTGAGCCGCAGCGCCCATGCCCCACGTCCTCATCATTAAAAAAGCCGGAACATTGAACAGCTGGGAGACGGCGAAGCATCTGCTTCAGAGAAACATTAACCGTGTCCTGCAAATTTAGGCCCACCCGCTCCCGACTCGGTGAGCCCGGCCTCGGATCAGGCGTCGACGGCCCTCCTCCCACCCCCGCCCTTGTCCCCGTCCCTCGTTTTTGGTGCCGTTCACGTTCGAAACGGAGGATCACAATGTTCCGAACATCAGCGCCTTCCATTTACAATCTGAGAAATCCCAGGAGGATTTGATCCCTCCCTGATTTTTTTTCCCCTCCTTCACTCATCATCGTGAAAAGTGTACTGCGGAGCTCTGATAGCAGGCGAGTGTCGAATGTTTGGTTCCAGGGTTTCCATTTGCTCTGTGCCGTTCGCACGAAAGGAAGTTCATAATCTTTTGGTTCGCAATCTAAAAGTTTCAAGCCGATGACTTTCTTCTTGAGTAACTCTGTCAATGTCCTCTGTATTTTCCAGGTTCAACTGATTCACTACAATCATGAGCTGTATACGAATTACACGGAAGCGGCGAAAAGCCCCAATGGACTGGTCATAGTGTCCATATTCATGAAGGTAAGTCAGATAAGGTAAAGATAAGCCTTTGATGATGTCCGCCTACCAAGGATTTATTCATTGAAAGGGAAATGAACTTTGTCTGGACTCGGCGAACCTCAGCCGAGGCTCCCAAGACATTTTGTACCGAGTTACTTCTTAGAAATTTAGCAGAATTGATTCGGACATAAGTTTTCTACAGTTAAGGGATTTTGAGGAAGCGGTAGCTGCACAAGAAACCCTGACCTGGTTTTATCTGGTGGTTAATCATGACAAGACGGTTTAAAATGGAATATCCAGTCCAAAAGAAGAAAAAAAAAAAGAGAGAGAGAGAACTGGCTTAAAGGACCAGTCTTTATAAGACAGACATGTTTTCTCATGGACAAACATTCTTATTTTGTGTGTGGATATCTTGAGAACATTTTGAGCTTTACTAGTGTCAATAAATGAAATTGCTTTGCCAAATAATAAAAGAAATCAGCGGTTAATCTGTTTACTGCAGCCAGAACGACGGCTCAGAATCAGGCCAACACCATATGCAAGAAAATGCTCGTTAAAGTATATGTTTGATATTCCCTTTGCTATAAACCAAATTGCTGAGAAGTAGAGGAAGATTTCATTTACCCAATGCAAAAAGAAGTTTTAATATTTGTTGGGAATTGAATGCTCTACAGACGAGCTGGATGGAGCTTGACTCGTTCTAACTCCAGACTCTTGAGCACAACTGAATATAAGCCACACTCACCGACTTTGAAAAGAAAATATAATTGTATGTACAGCTTTAAGAGACCACTTAAGATGATCAATTTATCTGATTTTACACTTTATAGGTTTATGTTTGAGTAAAATTAACATTGTTCTTTTAGTCTATGAACTACTGATGACATGTCTCTGAAATTCCAAGCAAAAATTTAGTATTTATTTGCAGAAAATGAGTAATGGTCAAATTAACAATAAACATGCAGTGCTTTCAGACCTCAATACTGCAAAGAAAACAAGTTAATGTTCATTTAGAAACAAAAATACTGATGTTTTAACTCAGGAAGAGTTCAGAAATCAATATTTGGTGGAATAACCAGGAGGTTTTCAATGGGGTTCAGTGAAGTGGGCTCTTCATTTTTTCCAGAGCTGAATATGGGCCACAGGTCTCCACATTTAACATGAGATTTTTTTTTTCTTTCACTTTGGAAAAATAATTTACGGTACATATTTTATTTAAACAGTGTCTGTATCATTGTTGCTTGAAAAAAGAGGGAAAAGTCATCGATCGCTATCTCCATCTTCCTAAACCCACTGAAGTCGTCGTCTTCAGTGTCGGATCAAACGGACTCGCTCACACTTCCTCAGTCCGTCTTTTGTTGTCGCTCTCAATGTCACTTTCGTTCTGATTTGCTCTCGGGGTTGGTGTGCCGTCCTCTTCATCACGAGCCCAGCCTGTCAAACCCTGTTGCTAAAGCGCCGTACATTAGCCACATCGCAGAGTTCAAAGTGTGTGAAAAAGGAAGCGGCTTGCAATCCAGAAATTACAGCGTACGCCAGTCTGCGTTTCTACAAGCAGGAACGACACACACACACGCACAGATTCAGGCAGAACTTGCTACAGCTTGTGACGCTAAAAACGGCCGACTGCGTTAACAAATAGAGACACAAGAAATGTTTACAGATTGAGCCGTAAGTAGCGACTGTGACCACAGTTCCATGCGGACACTGATCCAAATGATCTACGATATTAAAGCAAACAGAAAGGCCAGAAGCAGTATTTCTGTATCCGTCTCTGCTTTCAGTGGTAGAAACAAAAGTACTTATTTTAAGCACGCAGTTCAGTACTGCAGGAGATTTAGAGGTAGGAAAAGAGTCACACGTGAATGTCAGCTTAAGTTCAACCTGAACTTTCAAGAGATTGGTGAATTGTCCACCGTGTTACTCGACAAATGTTCATTGACTGAGAAAGACTTTATAATCTAGTGGTTTAATCTGAAATCTGTCCAGTTATGACCGTATTAAAGATAATTTATTTGCAATATTTCCACAAACTCAGTTTAACGCATCATGATATGAAAAACATCACATTTACTGCTGCCCGTCTCCCTCCTAAATCCTCGACTCATCTGAATCAAGAACTCGCGACTCGCCAACAATTATCACTCTAATTACCCCGCCGAGCGAAGCGGCATGCTCTCTGGATCTGTGTCGGTGCTGAGCAGCGCTGTTAGGCTGATGGCAGCGCTCGGTTGTCCCTTTGTTGTTTCTGAGAAGTCACCATCTCGATTGAAGGGCCGGGAGATCAAAGAGGCAGCCGATGCCCTTTTGCCGCTATGCACACTGAAGCTGAAAGTTCAGCTCCCGGCGGCTAATGAGCTCCCCAATGTCAATGGGCCCATCACCGAGTCCTGAGAGGACGGAGGGAACGGTGACCTCGGTCGGCACCTCCTTGACTCGGCTCCTTCATCGCCAGAGCGAGGGGGTGCTGCAGGTGTGATGGCCTCTGGAAAAAATGCTGGAAAAGTTGCTGCACCGCTCGGTTGCTGGGAAAGAGCATGAACATTTTATTGGTTGTATTATTGTAACGAGGGGGGGGGGGGGGCCTTTCCTAAATTAAATAATTTCAATGAAAACATACTTTTCTTACAAGATATAATTCTAGAAAGACTATTGGCTTTCGTTGCATTATGGTCTCATCTGATTATTTACCCACATTTTCACAGTAAAACCTGAAAAATGGCTTTAACAAGTGTAGTCTTGTGCAGCGAGCTTTCAAGAAGCACTCAGTTGTGGCCGGTTTATGGTAAAACGACGGTCCTTCTTGTCCCCAGTTGTAACCACATTGGTGCTCACTGGAACCTTTCATCTGTAGCCAATGCTATCAACAGGTTTTAGACTTGCCAACAAGAGTTAATGTCTTTAAATGACATTAAGAAGCTGATACTTATCTACACATACAGGGAGCATAATATCCGTCCCAACACTCACAGATTGCAGCTGGTTTCTCAAATTCCCATGGCTTTTTGCTTTTTTCTTTTCTTCATGTGTTCAGTTATTTCTGCCCCCTCAAGTCATTACATTTGTTTTTCATGTGTTGCTTAGGTTGTCGCCAACATCTGGTGTGGATTTTAATGCCAACGGCACCAATAGCAATGCATTTCCTAGAAGATATAAAAAGACATGAATGTGTTTAGTGCTTATTTTCCATTCTATGTTCATACAATAAAGGTGCTATGCAAACGCAGAAGGGTCATACAGCCAGAGTCATTCATCAGGATTTTATGATTTCTTACTTAATTCATGCCATAGTTCTGGAATCCTCACAGCATTCAGCAGCAATAAAGTACAAAGTCAAAATAATCTTTAATTGACCATTGTAAGAGGAGGTGGAAAGTTCAACAAAACACCTACACTCTGTCTTACTTTGCTGTGTTTTATTTATCATATGTATAAAAAAAATGACCAAAAACACAAGCTAAATGTGAGCTTTTTTTTTTTTTTTCTTAAAAATTAAAAACTACAATCTCTCTAAATTTGTGGATTGATGCATTGCATTGTTGGAAAATAAAGAAGTGTCACATCTGCTTAACTCGGAGAGCTCCAGCAGCTGTGGACTAAAGGTGTGCAGGGCCATCAGTCAGAAAGGACAAAGTAGCTGTAGCATCAATGTGCTGCTGCTTCTTCTATCCCTCATTAAAACCGGAGTGCCGCTGCCGTCTGTATGTTTAGAATATCTGCTGACATTTAAATAAGCCCATGTGGAAGCACGGCTCTGCATAAACATGATGCAGGAAGCATTAGGGGGCTCTCACTCAACAAAGGACCAAAACTCCAACAATGCAAATTGAATGTTTAAATTTAAATGTCTGTCCCCAGAGTTCAGCCGTGCTTGTTCTTTTAAGAGAAAAAAAAAAAAAAAAACACATCCGCGTTAAATAATCTAGATGAGCCACCGGTGTACCGCTGTAAATACCCATTCCACATCTAATAGGAAAACAGTTTAGTTCTCCTAACAGACAGGAAGCGACGCTAAGCTTTTCTCTGAGACGTTTAGGAGCAAAGAATACGTGCAGCACGAAAGACTCTGGGCGTTTTTATGTAAAGTTTAAAAATGTTCGCCTTGTGAGTCCGTGGGGCTTCTCTGAAAACTCGGCTCGTCCTCCACGTTGGCGTTTCCAAAACGCCCCGAGGCGTTATTGTTGTTCTGAGCGGCTGTGTTTCTCTCTGCGTCGGCCCCATAATGCACCGGTGACCCGTCCTGGGGCAGGCCCCACCTCTGGGCTGCGGACCACCTGAGACGGCCACCGGCCTCCTCGTGACCCGTGAAGCAGAATTAAACTTGCATAGAAGACGGATGGATATCGTAACCCAGAAGAGTCCCAGCGCACCTTTCCTTCCCCCCCCATCTGAGCTCGGGATTAGTTTCAGATCAGAACTTCTCAAACACAGAGGAACATCGAATGGTTTTGTTCTTCGCTACAACAACAACACCACATTTGGAAAATTGACTGAGTGGATTCTCGCCTCTGGCATGCTTCTTCTTCTTCTTCTTCTTCTTCTTCTAAGGCAGCACTAATTGCCTCTCTGTTTAAAATATTCACATCCGACCGAAATTAACAGTAATGGATGAAATCAGAGCCACATGACGCTAAACGCGTCGTGGTTTATTAAAGCGGCGCGCACGCACCAGATACTTCCATGCAGCAAAAAAAAACAAAAAAACAATCCTTCCGAAAACGGGCATTGAATAAAACGCAGTCTTGTCCCACACGAAAAAAAAAAAACAGTTATGTCATATGCTGCCCCCCCCCAACCTGACACCCACTGCTAAAAATCTGATACTCTTCTTTTTTTTTCTTTTTTCGCCCCAAAGTGTTGCTTCACTCCCACCGTCTTAAAGCATGTGTCACCCACTTACTTCCTTCACACAGTAGTTAGGTGGTAATTAGACAAATGGAGGATCGTTTTTCTCACTTTTCCAATGAATCATTCCGTTTCTTTTTCTTTTTTTCTTTTTTTTTGGCATTTTCACATTTTCGGTTTCATCCCTGTGAGTCAGCGTGCCAGGACGGACGCCTATTCTTTTTCAGTTTTGAGGCACCACTTAGGATGACTGAGGATTGCCTCACAATGCGAAGCAGGAAACCAGAACAGTCCTTTTTGCAGAAGTATTCATGCTGCTGAGAGGCTTTCGTATTTTGTTGTGTAACAACTACAATTTTTTATTTTTTTTTTTATTTTATGAAACAGACCAATATAAATTGGTGTGATCTTGACACGGGAGCATAATGATACCTGGTTTTCAAATGGAGGCATGCATTTGTTTTAAGTCCCCATCACTCAGATAAAGATTAGGGTTCGACTGACGCTGTAGGACAGTGAAGTTGGTCAGAGTTGTTGGGGGAAATGCATGGAGCTAAAACAAAATCAACCCCAGAAGGGGAATATGGAAAAAAAAAAGAACTGAGAAGTTTGCCTTCCAGCAGGAAGGGGCTGCAAAGAATGGATTAGATTAAAACATGTCTGTATGTTACGGTGGCCAGTTGAAAGAAATCTTAGTAAATTGAAAACCTGTTGCAAGACTTCAGTTAATGTTCTCTCTGTCCAATCTGACCGAGCTTCAGCTATTTTACAAAAGAACAATGGGCAATTCTGTGTCCCGTTTTCTTTCCATTTCAGAATCACATTGACAGAAGGTGGTTCTGTCACAGGGCTCAGCAATCTGTCATTTTTACCCTCCGTCCCACTAAATAAGTTCCTTAGAGTCGCAAGCGTGACATGACCGCTTGGGGGGGAAAAAAAGATGCATGTCATTTTTTTCAAGAATCATCAAATTATTTCTGTTGTTCTTTTAGATTACTTTAAAGTAGCAAAAAAAGTTGTGAAAAAAAGAGGCTGGATACATTGTCTTCAATGGGATGTCGGATGTTGACATTTGTAGAAAAATATAAATCTACAAAAAAAAAGGTAGATAAAAGCTCATATATGCCAAACTAATGACAAGAAAAATAAATGCAAATCTTTACATCTATTTGCTGAAACTTGCATTTATTTATTGGTTATTTATCATTTGGAAAATTAATTAGCCAAAGTCAAGATTTTCCTTTTTGATCTTAAAACAGAGCATTAGTTTATGGGGTAGGAGTTCATAAGTTGTTGTTTTTTTTACTTATTCCTTCTCCTTTTCAAACATGTTGAGATTATTGTGGTAAAAAAAATGCATCTCTTGTATTCCTTGTTTATGTGTGTTATTTATAAATTCAAAATAAATAAATAAATAAATAAATAATAAATTTGCAGCCAAAGTCTTCAAGAGCCACTGTGGAAGGTCCAAGGTGCCACTTGCGGCTCCGGAGCCGCAGGTTGCAAACCCCTGCCTCCATCGCACGACGTCCTGCTCAACAGATGACAAATGTAATTTGACAACATGAAAAACATCTCCAAGGCACCGTGAACAATCTGTCCAAGTGTTTTTGTTTCCATTACGAACCATGCAAACCATCCTAATCCATCACAGATCGTCTTAAGCCAGAGCGACGTTCGGTCGTATGTTTTACAGTCTGCACTAATACTCAGACCTGTAGTGAAGACATTTCCTGCTGAGGAATGAAAGGATCCCCTCAGGTAGCTCCTAGAAAAAAAAAAAAAGATAAAAATTGAGGGAGATGGGTTGGGGTGGGGGAGGGGAGGGGAGAGCAGGAAAATCCACAGAGCAGCATGAGGGGCTGTTAAGCCATAATGCCCGCCTGAAGATGGGAAAGGGCAGCGACTGAGTAATTATAGTGCGAGGAAAAGAGGTGGATGACGGGCACATCTCTTTTTAATCACTCCGCCGAAAGACACCTCGGCCGTTAGAGCTGCTAAGTCCACAGAGCTGATGGAGACGGGGGGGCCAAAGGAAGAAAGAAGGAAGCACATAGCCTGGAGGAGGGCAGGAAGCACAATCCCATGATGGTCATATGCATGCACCTCCACGTAAATGAGGGCCATCCAGTACGCAGGACTACTCACTAAATAGGATTTTATGTTCCCTGGCCTTTTACAGGGATTTTGGTTATTTCCACACCCTGTGCATTATGTAAGACTTACAGATTTAATTTGAAATGTTTAACTTGGTTGAGGAAGGAGAGAAACCGTCTAAGCTGGATGGATGTGCGCTGAAAAAGCAGCAGTCTGTGTTCAACACTCTGATTTCTGATGCAGATGCCGAGGGCAGTATTTAAAAGTGGAGCGTTCTTTATCTATTAGCTAGGTATCGAGCAAGTTTTCTACTGCTTATATGTTTGTACGCTCAATGCAGAGTTGGAGCTTCACCCGCAACCCGTCGATACAAAGACAACCATTGATAATCTTATGGAAGTTCTGTCGAGAGGTTTTTAAACCAATTTGTCAATACTGAAAGTCGATAACTCGCTTACCGTTGTTATTTTTGAAAAAAATGTGAATTTGTTGTTCTTGGATGCTACAGCTAAGGTCAATTTAAAGCGAGGACATTTTAAAGAGTAGCATTTTTGTTCACAGTCTTTCTAAACCTTGGATTTTTACTGATAGTTGAGCCCAAAAATATTCATAATCCTTGACGAGTTAAATTCAAAACGAGTTTAATTCAACCAAGAAGTTGGTTTTTGACAGAGAATGAGACGAGCATTTCTCAAAACGTAATATGCTGTAAAATATGTGTCTTTTTCTAAATTGTATTTTAATATATGTAACTATTTGAGTTGTAATTGTTGTTTCATAGATTTTGTTAGTGTTTCATAGTTTGTGTTCGGTTCAAAACCGACAATTTGTGGACCTTTCATGGAATGGACTATATATCCCATGATGCTTTAGAAGTTAGAAGAAGAAGAAAACATGGAAAATTACAGGCGGGAAAACATAAATCCGCCAGAGGTGTAAATAATTTCGAGCTTATCTATTTAATCAACCCAGTCAAAATGGTTTTCAACGTCAAAGTGTTCGTAAGCTGCATTGATAAATCATGTCAAAGCCACCATTTTTTATTTTATTCACACTTTTGGGGTTAATAACTATCGATAATTATTGAACTCTAATCAGTTCCAGCATCCTTTAAGTGAAATATGTTCCCATGACTATGTACTTATGCTAATTCATTAATAAAATGTTATTTTCTTAATGTTTAGTTGAATTAAGGTATATTTTACCCGTGTGAGACCAGCTCTAGCGCCAGGATTACTGAAGATGTAAATAAGAACTTGTGCTAAGCAGTATAGACTTTGAACCAATTTGGTGTGACTATTACAATAAGTTATTGACCATCACTGTGGGTTCAAGCCTATTGGAGGCTCACTGGTACATTTATGCATTTCGGTGACTGTTGTTGCCATATATAATCAAAGAGCATTGTTTGGCTGCTGTTTTCTTACCAGATTCCTGTTGTTTCAAATGCTTCAAATGCAGGAATAAAGCGTCTTTGGTTGTCTTTCCCGAAAGTTGCGGGCAAAACGTCCTTTGTAGGTAGAGGACAGGTGTTTTGTTGCTTCAAAAGGAAACATTAAATCAAGCCGAGTCACATTCAACAACCCTCTTTTTTTTACTTTCATCTCTGATAAAATTAAACTCGTTTTGATCTATAATAGAATTATGCCAGGATGAAGGAAAAAAAAAAAAAAAGACGCGTTGCATTTCCTATTCACAAAGATGCATTGTGTTCTTGGTCCATAGCAGTGTGTGTCTATAAGATCTTTCTTTTCTTTTTTTTTCCTGTTTTCTTGAAACCAGTGGGAGCTTTTGTTTTTCCTCCAAAAAGACAGAACAGCAGTAGAAAATTGTGTAAGGGCGTCTGACTGAGAAAAATACATGAGTGGGCTTCAGCATTTCACGGCCATTAAAGATAAGATTTGAAAAAAGAAGATTGGCTCTATACTTAAGAGCGCCGTCCCTAGTAGATTAAGTACTGAGTGGGTCCGGGTTAATTTTAGATGTGCTCAATTCAATATTTGACCAACGTTAACCTCGGCCTTTTCTTCCCATGTTCTCTCCCCGCTTCTCTTTCATCCAGATCGCTGAGACGTCAAACTCTTTCCTGAATCGCATGCTGAACAGAGACACCATCACAAGAATAACATATAAAAGTAAGTGCCTGCGCAGTCGTCCACATGACGGAGCATCTCCACCGATTAGATTCCGACTTTAAATGTTTCGCTAAGCCGTACAGTAGCTGCTGCTGCTGCGTCATTTTGAAGGCAGCTGGTTTTTGATTCTCAGCAGGAGCGAACAAAAAGCACCTTGTTCCTTTTAGTCTGCAGCACTTCACTAAAATGAAGAAAAAAAAGACTGTTGCTTAGTATGCTAAGAAGATGATTAACCCCCCACCCAAAACAATGTGGCAATTTATAGTAATATGAAAAAGCATTTGCCCATTTACAGATTCCATCTCTTTTTGTCATTTTTGTCGAGTGTTTCAGCGTGGAGCTTACATGTTCCCTTTATCTTCTGTGCACCTTACTAAAAATATGCATATTAAGTTAATTAGTCTCTCTAGATGGCAGCTATATTTTCATGCATGGTTCAGATCCATATCAGTTCATTAGGCTTCAGAGTCTCTTTCTGTAGAACCGTAACAAATTGTCTGGCCTGTCCAGCACAGAGACGGCTCTGCTCCAGGGCAGACCTGCGCTTTAATAACCCAGAGCAGAACTCCACAACGTCCAGTCTCTGAACGCACGCCTTACCGATCCCTCATGAAACACCCAGCTATCAGAAAACCCCACCACAGAGAGCGCCTGCACTGCTACGGCCGTCCTTTAAACGGCGTTTCAGGTTTGACATTTTGAGCTCCGTAGGAAGAAAAAAATTCATGGATGTAAGAGCCACTTAACCTCTGCAATACTCGACGTAAATGAATGTTTAAAAGCCATGAATTAAAAATATTACTCTGAATGAACTTTACCCCCTTCCATCTTCAACTGCTAAACATCGTTTCTACATTGGAATGAATGAATGAATGAATGAATGAATGAATGAATGTCAGAGGAATCTTAGCTCACAATTATGTCTTTATTTTCTTTTCCTCTTTGAAGACAGAAACAATATATTACCCAAAGCACTTGCTTGAGTGATGCTGTATTTTCAATCCAACATTTTTTATTAGGTGTAGTCCAACTCTTTGCTGCTGTAGCAGCTTTAAATCTTGTAGGAAGGCTTTCTAGGAGGGTTAATATTTTTGCTTCTATGCATTTTTAACCACTAGCTGATTTTCTGACGTCAGACACTGACGTTGAACCTTAAGCTCTTGGCTCCAAATCTATTCCACATTTGTTCAGTTAGGTAAACTCCATGTGTAGTAAACTTGTTCATCTATGTTTTATAGACGATACCAGTCCTAAAAGTCTTCAAACAAGTTTTGGGAGCATTAAATTGTCCAAAATTTTTGGTGTGCAGAAGCATTAAGAGAAATCCCAACTCCTGGCAAACAGCCTCCTGAACTCTCTGCACATTCTGCGCCTCTGCTGACCTCACTGTGACTTCACTCGGCCTCCACTTCGAGGCGGAGTTGCCGTTTGGTGCTACAGTTAGGATGACATTTTAAAGCCCCCCACTCCCCCCCTGCCTGGGGGACCTTATCAGACACATGGCCTCGTATTACAGTACGACCCATTCTGTCTGAATGTCGAGATGGTCGATTTCTACTCCTCTGATGCCTGGAAATCGAGCTTATTGCCAGGCCTGTCACAATAACACATTGTTGCTGGACGATAAATTGTCCCAGAGGTTATTGCGATAAACGATAATATTGTTCTTTTGAGACCATTTTCCAGTAATATAAGGGTAATGGCACAATAACGCAAAAACACAGCCTCACAGATCCACCAGCTTCAGATTCTAAGAAACATTTAACGCAGGAACTGAAGGACATTTTAAATATCCAAAATAAATAACAGAAACAGTAAATAGAATGAATTATAAAGTTGTTGTTAACAAAATTAGCTAAGACCAAAACACCAGCCTGAAAACTTTTGTCATCCAGATTTTGGTAGACAGAGAGAAAGAAGAAAAACGATACATCATGCAATATTGAATTTGTTGAATAAATCACGTGATAAACTAATTTATTGCTTATTGCAACATTTCTACTTATTGCGTGTCATAACAGTCAGTAGGCTTCGTTGCAGGACTGGGGATACTTCCTGTCCGAAGCATCACCATCCACAGCGAGTTACGTCAGCATTTATTTCCCCTGCGGGATAAATAAAGTATATTGAACCGAGCCGATTATAACGTGCGACACTCCACAGATGCGGCATGTAAATAATCTGGTGCCAATTTGTCTCAGTTGCTTTTACTGCAAGACGTCGGTATGTTCAGGCACTCGCTTTGAGAGTCGCCAAGTTTGAGAAAAAGGTAACTTTTGCTCCTGGTGTGATTGGACAGTCAGTGCATTGCTGTTCAGGATCTTTTGGAAGAACCATTATTTTGATGGAAGATTTAGACGTTGAGATACCTGCCGGGGGAGGAAAAAAAAATAAAATACTCCTGATAGCTGGAGGGGGCTTTTGGCTGCGGCAGAAGTCAACGGCTGTTCTCCAGAGATCTCTCACTCCATCCCACTGCAGAGACTGCCTGAGGCCAACTTAAAAGAAAAGACAAATAATTGGATTAATGGGTTGGAGGTGAGTGGCAGATTACACGTGCTGACCCCTGGTGGTTTGGAGGAGTCCCAGAGGGATTTGGGTGCAGCTGGAGGGTGTTGTGCTGCGAGAGGAAAATTTTTTCTGTCCAAACGACAGGAGCTGCAGAGGATTCTGACAGCTGTCCAAAAACTCAGTCTGATACAGCGCCTCACACATGCTGACTCACACACACACACACACACACACACACACACACCACCACCCACTCATGCTTCTGAGACCTGCAGCCAATGTTTCTCCCATCCCAAAGCATCGTAATGCACATATGTGCACTGGTGAAAACAAAATGATGCATTCACACCATGCATGATTAAGAGACCAGAATTAAGATGTATTGCCCAAAAACAACATTGCCTGCCTGGATTTCACAAAATGTCGTTCACCAAATACTGTTACCTTCCTAGAATAATGGCCTAAGTCATTGTTTGCAAAAAAAAAAATTCTCTTGGCCAAAAAAAGACCTTGGTCATCATTTTAGGAAGTGACTGAACTCCTGCAGTAATGTTGAGAATCCTATTAGAACTAGAATAAGACTTAAAGATTTTGTGAAATGTTACAAAAAGTGAAAGTAAACCACAAACAAGTGCTATTTTATTTTTTCTTTTGGTAAATTTGAAAGCATTGGCAAATTCAATTTTGCAGGTTGTACTCCTTGTGTTGGTATTTAATGCATAAATATTCTTAAGACGCGCTCAGACATGAAGGCCATTTGGGAAACAGGCAGCCAGAGGTTGCTTGCGGTCTGATGGGTTTAGATTTAGTTGAAGCCGAACTGCCGAAATCATTTCTCGCTGTCGTAGCTGCGTGACGAAAAACCGCGTCATTTTCCTGTCGGCCTCATGTCGTCAGCCCCTTGCAGTCACAACGCTGTTGGCAAACGTTTCTCCATGCAAAACTATTGTGTGATTGGTCTGAATATCTAGGTAGGACGAATCGTCGGGAAGCACAGATAGTTAGAACACCAGTTTTTTTTTTTTTTCAATCAGAGAGCAGATTTCGTGGAGCGGTTTTCTGAGGCCATGATCGCGCTATGAAACAGTATGTGCCAAGAAAATACATAATACTGCCCCTTTAAAGAAATGATGATGGCTCAATGCAAAGGTTATATCTTTGCATTGAGCCAAGCTAGTTGAAATAGCTTTTATCACCTGATAAATAACCCCATCATTTAAAAACTGGTTTATGTAATCGTTCAAGTTACCTTTGTGATATTACGTTTCCATCAGTTGTCGCAAATAAAAGCACTTAGACCAGTCAAACATTTGAACATTTTTGTCTGAAATGTTTGTTTTTTGTATTGTAATTCCGTCCCACCGGCAGAATCTCAAACTAAACCGTAATGCCGTTTAATTAGTGCTCAAGTTTCCAGCAGTCCACCACGGTGACCCCATCACGGCAGGCTGTCCATTTTGTCATCCGAGGCTTCAGACTACGACGAGTTACTGGGAGCAATCTAGTGGAGTGTGAACACGGAGCAAGAGATGGTCTGTCCAATTAGCATTGTGACAGTGAAGACGGTTCGGATAAAACGGCTTTTTGAAGTGCAACACCAACAGCCTGCCACTCACCCGACTGCAGACGCCACGCGAAAGGCGAGGCGAGGAGAAATTAGCTCTGAAACACGAGCTGAAGGCGCGACGAGCAGCGAGGAGCGTGTACCCACAGAACCCCCCGCAGAATATACCGCCCCCCCCCCCCCTCAGGTCTCGGTGACAAGACTGGGGTGTGATGAAAGAGTCAAACTGCAGCGCATGTTGTGAAGGGTTCAAACCAACTGCAACGCTTGTCAACATGTCAGTGTCCAGGGTCATAAATATTTCACAACGCTACATTATTACGAGCCAAGAGATGTGCGGCTGGGGTTGATTTCACATAGCGAGCCTCGGCGTTTGAAAGCGTGCAAAAACACGGAGGCCACGTACTTATTTTCACATTTTTGTGGATGGGGGCGGTGGAGGGGGGCTCCAACCTAACTAATTCTGATTTATTTTATCTGAGTCTGGAGGTGTGCTGTGTATGTTCAGCTAACATGGCTAAGCAATCCTGACCAGAATTTTCTAACCCAGTAAACAAACGATACGCTTAAGTTGACCCAGTAAGGAAAGCGACCAAATAAGCAATGGCAGTCATGTGAATGTGACATGATAAATTGTCATTAAAAAAAAAAAAAAAAAAGCCCAAGATGATTTATCAAACTATTTCGTCTTTCTAAAACTTGCTGCTGGAGGCGTTTTCTGGGACGTGTAAGCAGGCTTCAGTCTCATTCTGTCATCAGCGACTCCGTTTTAAACGCTTTTGTGCACAGAAACAATAACGTCCGCGTGACTGTGCTGTTGATTTTCCTCCAGGTTCTAAAATGTGGCGGAGAAAAAAAAAGAAAGAAAGGGATTTAAATCTTGCATCGAGCGGTTAAAATCAGTCAACACAAATTAAGATTATATTAATGCTATTTGATCAAAAGATGAGCTGTGTGAGACAAAAAGAGGGAAATAGTTTGTGAATATGGAACGTATTTCTACTGGTGAGTCATTGTTTAAAAAAAAAAAAAAAAACTCAGGCAAATTGTATTTGTGTAACCTGCAAATTTAAAGTTCAAACACACAACCGGAGCACAGTGGGTTCCGTTAAGACATGGTTGTTGTTGTTTTTTTTGTCTTTTTATCTTTTTCCTCTATCTCCTCCTCTGCAGATGATGCATATCTTCTGACCGGCCTCAACATAGAAGAGATCTACCCAGAAACGAATAGTTTTATCACCTACGAAGGATCGATGACTATCCCTCCATGCTTTGAAACGGCCACATGGATCCTGATGAACAAGCCAGTGTACCTCACACGCATGCAGGTGAGCCACAGCCGCCGTTCCAGGCTACAGGAAAATCTCACCTTACTAAACGATGCATCCAATTCTCGCCTCTTCCCCGGAAAGTAATGCCGCAAAGAGTTCGGTAACGCTTCCGTAAGCCTCTCACTCCGTCTCTGTGCCTTCCTCTGTCTTTCCACCTAGATGCACTCCTTGCGGCTGCTGAGCCAGAACCAGCCGTCTCAGATCTTTCTGAGCATGAGCGACAACGTTCGCCCCGTGCAGCCGCTGAACAACCGCTGCATCCGCACCAACATCAACTTCAGCATGCAGGGCAAGGACTGCCCTAACAACAGGGCTCAGAAGCTTCAGTACCGGGGTACAAACGCCACTTTTACTGGCTTTTGCTGCCACTTTCTCCTGAGAATAGTTGCTTTATTAGGACATGTCGACTAGTTTAGACAGGTTACTTATTGCCCCATTCCTCCTGACAGAGTTGACGTAAACGACTCTCGTTTGTAGGGCCCTTTGCTTCCAAACACCTTTTCACCACCGCTGACCTTTTATTTCATGAGACTGACATTGGGACCTTAATGTAACTACTCTAAAATGTTGACTTTGATGTCCTTAAAAAGCCACTTTGCAGCTAAATTGGCTACATGCTCAATGCTGTTTCCGATATGGAAGACCACGTTTTGCCCAAAGCGTCTCCAAGCTCAGGTCTTGATAAATGAATATGATGTTTTTTCCTCGTGATGCCTTCTATATTGTTACTACATACTTCATATTTAAGTGTTGGGATGTCGTTCCAAGGCTTGTAGCTTCTGCTTATTCTTCCTAACTATGGTGATCAAGACCAAACACTTTTTGTTTCATTAGACTTGAGGACCAAAAATGAAGGTCTTTGTCCTGGATTTATTTAATTTTGAAATGTTAAACTTACTTCATAAATTGCTTTTGTGGTCTTCTATTTTGAGTAGAGTTTCTCTTTGGCTGATTTAGTAAATATCTCAATGATTTTTTATTTTTTTTTTTATCAGAACATTTGGTTATGACTCAGTTGTGGCTTAAGACGGTCTCATCACTGCTCCTTATGACTCTGGACTCTGTAGTTCAGCTTCCAATCTCCTCTTCACTGTTTCTGGCCAAATATGAAGTTGCTGAATTGTCACTCCTGGAGCGTAAAATGTGTTTAAGGTGAGCTGTAGCCTCGGCGCCTTCTGCTCATTGTGGGGTTTACTGTACCGTGGCTCACCCAAAGCGTGACCATTTTTCTCTGTATCTCGTTCCCTCATTCTTCCTCTGTTCTGCACTGTTCACTCCAAAGAAAAAAAAAAAAACTCTCCTTCTGAGCAACAGTTTGTGAGGGAGAAAGCGTGCGCCTAGGACGATGCCGTACAGGAAACGCAGCTAATGCATTACTAAGCTAACTGTTTTTGCAAGTGGAGCATTTTCAGGCTAAAATTGAGAACTGAAGTCTTTAGTTTTGGCTTGAATACGTGAACAGGTTTTGGTAAGTTGAGGAAAATAAAAGGCAGGGAACAACGAGACCCACACCTCGGTCTGAGGAATGAACAACGGCACTAATGTAGTAAATGGGAGATCAGAATGTTTCTGGACTGCTACTGACAAAACATAGGGTTTCTGCTACATCTGGAAAAGTTTGAAATTTGATTTAATTGTTTTTCTGGACAGAATAAAAAAGAAAATAGGAATATCAGGGGAAAGAAATTGTTTGTTTTTTCCTCTCTTTCTGTGATTTCTCTTTTATCCTTCACTCCTTTATGTCCTTATTTTCTTTTCTTTGTGCTCTTACTCTTTCTATCCTCATGCCCTCCTCCATTCCGTCCGTCTTTGCAATCCACGCATCCTACCTCTATTCTTTCTGTCTTAACTCTATTGTTTCCTTCCTTCTTCCGTTCCTCCCGTCCTTTTTACGTACGCCTCACCGGGAAAATAAAGTGGACACGTTCCAGACACGGTTCAAAAGACCCATGTGCTTTGATCAGAATGTTAGCGGGGAAAACAAGCTGAAACACAGCCGCTTGGCTAAATCTGTTCGAAATGTAAAACAAAATCATAAAGACGATGAAAGAATCGGAAAAACTATCGCTTGAACGGATCAAAGATGAGCCAAAATGGCAAAGACTAAGCCAATGATCCACACACAAAGGTGATCAAAGCAGCTCCACTGTTACCTGTGGGCACTGTAACAATTCAAACGCACCTAAATGTCAGGAAGAAGCCCGTTCAACGCCTCATGTTGAATAAAGCATGCATGTGGTGGCGCAGGTATGGCGCGATGGCTTCTTTTCTGTTTACACCAGATTACCTGAAAAGGTCAAGTTGCCTTATGCTGAAGTGGAAACGCTCATGAACAAGTTCAGAACTTTAAACATGCCAGTAAGGGTGCAAGAGCCTGGTTGGAGGCCAGCAAGATTATAAATGAATAAACCAGCAGAAAGCATGTGGGATGAGGAAGTTGGTGCGACAAAGATATGAATCAGCTCTTGGTGCTAGTGGGAATACCATAAAATATCTAAGCGATTCACAAGTACCTTACTACTTAAAGCATTTTTCACTTCATACACTATATGTTGATTTTTCTACAGAAAAATATTAATGCAATACAGGCTCTTTGAACATTTTCACATGCCTTTCTCCTTTCGCTCCTAGACAACCAATAAAGACAAAACTTCTCTTTACGTTGTGATGTGGAGTAGATTAAAAACTGTTCTTGGGATTCCGAGCATCAGTTCCATTTTTTTAACACACTACTATTCGCTGCACACTTCACATGGTACTGATTTCAATAAAGCATCCGAGTTGGCCCGTGTTTATTGGCTCACATCTGGATTGTGAGCAAGAGAGAAACCTGATGGCACAAAAAGGGCACGTCGACGTCACTTTACTGACAATGTAGTTAGTTAGTGAAGAGTTATTTTAGGTGTATTTTAAGCATCTGATTATGTTGCAAAAACCCGCTGCCTTAAACAAACGTGCCAGTTCCCGTTTTAATAAGCCCGGTGCTTTCCACACCGCCGTTGCATTTCCACAAAGGCTGGCACTTGAAAAATAACAGTCCCCTCCTTAACTCCACCTCCAGCCCAGCAGTCAACACACACACACACGCACACACACACACATTTACATTCATTCCACTCACTCGGGCAACATCCCTCTGAAACAGAGCGCCGTGGCTAAAGATGAAATATGGCCGCCGCACAGAGGAGGAGGAGGAGGAGGTTGAGGGAGGCGAATAACGCCGCAAAACAGCTGAGCTGTGGAGCGTGGTGCCATACTTTTACAGCAATTTTTTTTTTTCTGTCTACATACAAATCATTATTCTTGCTGCTTTTTTTTGTTTGTTTGTTTTTTTTCTCCCCCTCTCTTGCAGTGAACGAGTGGTTGCTAAAGTAGGCGCCTCCCCTCTCTCCGCCCTTCCTACGGATGAGCGAGGACAAGAAACGAATGTCGGAGACGGAGAGCGGGAACGAGGCAGGTGGAGCGGGACGTCGGGACGTCGGAATGTGGAATCGGTCTAAAGGCTTCATCTCATCTGAGAATCTTTCATGACGTTGTACAAAGAAAGAAACGGATCACTTTTCTTTTTTTCCTTGAGCGAGAGAACTTGCGAATGAAAAGACTCTTCTTTTCATACATTGAGAACTGTTATAGCCCTCAAGCTAACACATCCTTCCTCCCCTCCTTAAACTGTATGACTACATCTATATGAACATTTTGATACGGATGATTTTTTTTTTCTGTTTTGGGAGGAGCAATCAAAATAGAAGACTCTTAAAGTTAAAAAAAAAAGAAAGAAAAAAGAAAATTTAAATGATTTGATAGCCTCCCAGCCAATAGGACAACCTCGGGACATTAAAGCCTTTGTACATAAAAAAAAAAAGATGCTGCCATCAGTGGTACCATCCAACGACAAACCCACCGGTCAACGCTAAGCAGTCAACGGGACTCGCACGAACATTTCATCACGGTCACCCGTACGGGGCATGTAATCAGCAGGAAGCTACAAAGACGACACAGCCTTACTTAAGTCATTTTTTATTTTTTATTTTTTTTTCCCAAAACTGAGTCATGCTACAGGAAACGAGCAATCTGGCGCGGAGCGTCCCGGGGCCTCGTGTTGTACATATTACTACTATTATCGATACCGGAGAAAAACGACAATGTAAAGAAAAAGTGACGAATTACAGAATAAAATCCAAAAAAAAAAAAAAAAAAAAAAGATATATAAAGAAGATTTGAAGTGGAAAAAAAAAAAAAGATACAAAAGTTATGAATTTTAAACAGCTTGGCACACTTTGAATTCTCGAGCGGTTCTCGGTGTGAGCTGATGCCTTTTTTTTTCTGTTGTTTACAATGGTCATACACTGTGTTTGAGTAATGTTATCGGCCCAATAAATGTGTCTAAAAAGTCCACTCTGGAGAACGCTTCAGTCTGTTAAAAAAACAAACCCTGATGTCCTTATATCTGTTCCTGTCTTTGTGCTGCTCAAAACACACGAAAAACCTAAGACAAATCTGGATTAAATATCGGGAAAACTTCACACATATACAAGTAATCTCTTCTCTTTTTTTTTCCACTGTAAAAGGGATTTATTTGCACCTGAACAAAAACTGTCATGTTTGTTTTGACATGTTCAAGACTTAATCTTCAAACCCCCCCCCCTCTGATATATGGCAGAAATCCAGGTGGATTCATCTTTTTCAGAACGTAAAGTCATGCTGAACGCCCCATTATGACACGTTAGGGTTTCTACAGACTTATTTAGCACGCTGGCAGTTTATTTAAAACTCCCCACGTTCAGAAAAGAGGAATAATTGATTTCAAATTCACTTGAGGCCTCTTTAAACCCCTGAGCTCTCTGGATCCCCACACGATGTTTGCTCCCAATTTAAAACTCCGGGGGGACTGTAAGGTTTTAACAAAGTAAGCTTCCATCAAAAGTCTGAGAAACAGACGTTGTAATCATACGCAGCTCATATGATATTCCTGTGTGGGAGCAAATACCAAAATTCTTTTTTTTTATTACATTTCAAAGACTTTTTTTTTTCTTGCGTTTTTATTGGTTGTGCACATTGCATCAGTTTTATGTCATTATTAAGATGCGTCCTACACATCCGTATGTCAAAATGTGTTCAGGAAACAGACAGGCTGTCACAGGATGTTAGCACTGTTTGACATAAACATGTATTAAATGTGTTCGTATGTCAATATTCCGCCTTCGGAGACCCGACGGTGCGTCTGGAGCGGCACCACAGGGTTGTTGCAGAAAGTGCGGATGCGGTATTACGGTCTGGCTTTTTTTCTTCTTCTTCTTCTTCTTCTTCTTCTTCTTTTTAACCGTCACATGCACAGCTAGAGCTTATTAGATGCGTACAGTGGAGGCTCTGTCGGAGTTACAGTGACATGTCAGAGTCTTTCAGATCGCATCGGCGAGCATCAGGGGGTTTGGAGGAGGAAAGAGTCTCCACGCACCAAATGATACAGGTCTGGTCTGTGGCAACAATTGTCAGGGAGGAAGCTGGAGAGAACTTTTTTCTTTTTTTTTTTTGTCTGAAGATATAAAATGACACTATGTGGACAGTGGATCGCAGTGGCTCCATCAGCTGTTCAGAAACCTTGATTTTTCTCAATATTTTTGCTCCAATGTCTTAAAACTGATCTGCTGTTATGGAAAATTTCACACATACTGGCCTGTAACAACAACAACTGGAGAAAAGCTCCACACACAGAGGAAACATTCTGCAGAGAGATCTGGCTGTGGGAGTAAAACCTCAGACAACTGAAAATGACTAATGAGATTGCTACATTTCTATAGATATAACAACACAGCTGCTTTACCGTGTTTGGTTGCACTTTATTTGAAGGGGTGTACATAAGACTGATATGACTGTCATAAACATGAAATAACAAATGGGAACATGGAGGAGTCTTTATGAATGTTTGACTGTTGTCGAGAAGTGGCATTCATTAAATAATGACACTTGTAATGTAAAGTTGAACTAAAAGTTGTTAAAAGTCTCAACTTTGCATTATTTGGTAAATAATGACACTTTTGAAGCAAAGTTGCATTAAAACTTGCATAAAAATTCCATTAAATGTTTCAACTTTACATTAAACATGTCATTATTCCCAAAATAATGACATGTTTAATGCCAAGTAATACTCAGAATTGTATTTAAAGTCCAATAAATGTCATTTTTGCATTAAGTGTCATTATTTACCGAATCATATTTCATGACAACACTCATAGACATTCATAAAGACTCCTTCATGTTCATTACAGGTGTTATATCACGTTTATGACAGCGTCATGTCAGTCTTATGCACACCCCTTCAAATAAAGTGCTACTTTGAGTTTTATTTATCCAGCTTGTCTCACGTTGATGATGTCTCGTATAAAAATGAAGCCTATGTGAGTTAGATGAACTACAAAGCATTAATTCACGCCAACATTATTTATTCAAGATTGTTCAAACTGCAGCACAATGCTTCCTATGATGATGTCCATCATAAAATGTCTTTAAGGAAGACTGAGTTCATGTTGTGTCTCCATAATTGTGAAGGAAATTTACATGATTCCGTTTTTGATGATCAAACCACTGTGGTTTGATCATCTCCAGATTATTTGCAATTGTTTTAAAATTTGTTGCTAGGCTAAGTAGAAGAAACAACCACTATCCAAAGACCACTTTTTTTTTTTTTTTTTTTTTTTTTTTCAACCACCGCTTTTCAGGCTGGTGTCACTGATACTTTCAAAGGATGCTGCAGCACCTGGCTTTGACTCACGATTCTTTCAATCTGAAGGCAGACGTCAGAATTTACAAATTTGGAGAACGTTCATCAATACTAATGTTAAAACCCAGAGTGCTCTTGTACAAACAGTACTGATGGTTCAATCATAAACAGCTTGTTTGTACTTTTGACAGTGTTTTTCTTATTAAATTGCATTTTTTTTTTCACAACTTATTTTCCATTAGGAGATTATTGTGAAATGCTGTGTGTTGCCACAGATTACACAAGAATACAAAAAGTCACACGCTCGCGTTCGTTGGTATTATGGACACTGATTTCCACTCCATTATGAAGAAATTGTACAGTTTTGTCATTTAACAGCAAGGATTGTAGCACCAGGACAGAAATCTGTCCAAGCTTTAGATGGCGGGTTTTTTAGTAAATTCTTTCATTTTGCACCTGGCATTAAATGTCCTCCGTAGCCTTCCCTGTTGCCAGTAAGTTGTTTCTTGCTGAAGGCAAATTTCTGAAACTTTTCTGAAAAATCTGGAAAATGAACAACATACTAATTCTAATATTTAATAAGAGTAGATCATCAAAGGTCAAACAGTTTGGCTTTTCAAGGCGATGTTGTTAACTGAACAATATTACAAATCCTACGGTTACATTTAAAGGTACGGAGTCATTTGGTGGAAAGCACCAAATGACTCTGAAATATTTGACTGCTATTCTATTCTGGGGGCCTGCAGGGGAGGATTGTGTTTAATTCAATTTAGTTTAAAATTACTTTGCCAAAATCCCAAAGGGAAACGAAATGTTGCAGTTACTCGAGCTGACCACGTTTCTCTCCAGAGACATTTTCTTGGCTGCGGTTAGGAAGAGAGCTACTTACAGCACTCTACTTCTTCACTTGCCGAAATAGTCTTTGGTTTGTGTCAGCTTCTCCTGAAGTCGATGATCACCTCCTCTGTCCTGTTCATGTTGTTTTTACCCTAAGTGGTCCACCAACTCTCCGGACTCGGCCTCTTTCGTATCTCTTACAGGCCCAACAACTGCAGGATCATACAAGAATATCTTAAGGTGACTCTAACTTGTGCTGGAAGCCTGAGGTGTACAGTAAAAATATTACGGTTAGAGTACAGGAAGTTGTGGCGACTGAAGACGACGGCTAAACAGCAGCAGAAATCCTGAAGTTGAACCATTTTTTTTGTGTGTGTGTGACAGGAAACCCTTTAGTCGAGGGAAAGTGGGGAATCTCTTGAACTACTGGTTGGAAAAGGAGGATGCTGAGCTTGTTAAGTTCAACCTATTGAAAACTGCCTCTAGTTCATTGACTCTGTCCAGACTTAACGTGCTTCTGATTGCCTTTTTCTGCTGAAAGTTTGTGAACCTCTTCATTCCTGATTACAAACCTCTTAATTTTGTCACGCTGCAGCTTGCTCTCCAGTCTCCACCTCCTTGCTGCCTCTAATCCTCACTTTAAGCTGCTTTTGTATACAACTCAATAACTCCTGTCCTCCTTCCTGAGGGCGCTTCTTTCCCTCGCTTAGCAGTTCTTTCAAGTCGCTGGCGATTGAGCGTTCGTCAACAAGGAAGCAGCTAACTCTTCTGCTGGGGATAGTGTTATCTGTACGGAGTCGTGGGGTCGATCTCATTTCCATGGCTCTCGGAGTTTTATCCCATTGTGTTGCAATTGTTAAAAGTTCTTTTTAAGTGAGATTGCTTCCACAGAAACAAGGCATCGAGGAGAGAGAGAAAATATCGTGATCTGCTCTACAGAGGAAGTGATGACTCCATGATGCAAAGCCATCTTTTCCCCCCCCTCTGGTGAAGCAACGAATAAAATTTTAAAATGTTGGAAAGAGTGTATAGAGTGAGTGAGGGGGTGGATAGGTTGAAATCTCTAAATGTTGCCATTGTTGTGTTGCCTATATAGCCTAGCTACAACTGAGCTGATGAAATCACATGCAGAGTGGGCAACGGCTGACGGCAGAATATGTTAACATTGCTAAGATAACGCCTGCGGACCCCCTGAGGTAAACAATGTAGATGAAAACTCAGCTTACAGTTTGCTATTAAGGCTGCAGAGATGATGTTTCACTGTAGCATGACTTGGGTTACACAATCTGTGGTTGACTAATCCATGTAATATGTTTTCACTGCACTTCAGGTCTGTGTCGGCAGAACGTGGCCAACTTTACTTACGTCTGCTCTGCAAGTTTATGTCCAGAATTGTTCATATACAGTAAATAATACCCATATGATTAAGCAGGACCTTAACTAAAACAAAAATAAAAAGGGTATCTGTGAGTCTGATCATTTTAAACTTGTGTTCGAAATCCTCCCACTCTGTGAAAAATGAAGGGAAATTGTGTTTGAAAATTCCACGTTTTAAATTTTTAAACTCAACATTTTCCCCAAGATCTTCTCTGTAACGTCATCTGTAATAGCTTTGGGAGGTATAGTGTAACTCTGGAGTCCAGGTGCTGGTCCAGGTTAATGTAACGCGATGTTTCCTTTAATGTCTCGCATTTGGTTTCATTTCTTTGAGAGGCCCACACTCGGATCTGGGCACAAAGACCCAGGCAGATTAATTGTTCTGTGGTTGTGATCCAGTTAATTTGTTGAGCAGAGAGTAATCACAGCAACGAGGCGAACCACTGTTTTTAGTATAGCACA